AAACCATGGCAACATCTAATGTTTGTGTAGTATTATGTTCAGCTTAGACTGTGTTCTTCTATTGTTGTGACTTAGATATGTTCAGAGCACATTTTATGCCCAATTCATGCAAAACTCCACGTAATCCCAAGGGGTTCACATACTTTTTCTTGCTACTGTAGTTTATGTTACATTTAATTTTATTAATACAGTATATATTGTGAGTATTCTTATGTGCTATGAGCAGTAATTTTAAAAAGAGACAGAATAGGATCAAGATGTTTGGCTAGTAGAACACAAGATAATATAGACAAGTGGGTTAAAACTACTGGAATATGACCACTGTATCTATAGAACTGCCCTTCTAATGACATCTGCTCTAACTACATTGCAATGTAGAATTTATGCTATTATTGAAGTGAGGCCAGACCAAGGGAAAGCAGCCGCCAGAGGAGGGACAGGCGGGTTACAACAAAATGGCGCCCCATAGGAGACCTTTTAGTCTATTAAGGAACAAAATGATATATATAGGCAGCTGTACGTCCAATGGCTAACTCCTGAGGAAGTCATGTGATGTAACACATAGGGTGGACTGATGACGTCAAGCTGCTAAACCGGAAGTTCACGAGCCGCCATCTTGAAAATTTCTGAACACATTGGAATTACATTGTAACAAAGTTTTTTTTTACTGTGGTGTCCCAGCAGGACACTTTTATATGTGAGTACACTTTGTTTTATTTAATAAATCACACTATATTTAAGTACTGCACTATAGCAAGCGTTTCTGTTTACATATGGATATATGGGATAAAGAGGAGACGAGACCGTTTGCAGCATAGTGAGGAAGAAAGTGGAGCCATCCATACAGTATACCTACCCAGGTTAAAAGGAAAGGCGGTATTTGACCTATGCAATTTGGGTCATATAAGGAGGTGAGAGTATATATGTATGTCTCTGGTGGAGGAGCACCTATAGGAATATATGTGGATATAAGCAATAAAGAGCACCTGTTTGGGAATTAATCATAGAGGCACGGCTATAATCACACATCAAGAACTTTTAAGTTGGAATCATTGTGTTTACAAATTTTTAATAATCACATGGTCTGGATGTTTTGATGTATATAAGGATATAGGGATATATGCGCGGCACTAATATATGATATCCCTATTTGTGTGTGGAAACGCATGTAAGTGTCGGCAGCACTGGTATACACAGGAGGTTGGGGAGTTTTTTGTTGCACTGAAGTTTTATTTGTACACGTTTTTGCATTCTGTTCTAATCAGAAGAATGTCTACAGCATCCATTATCAGGAACAGTGGAGGAGAGAGGATTCAGGATTTTCAATTTTCAGCCATGTGGATCTATTTAATGCTTACTTACCTCATTTATGCTGTGAGGTCCTACAGTCTGGTGAGTTTTCACCTGGAGTTTCTTTTGACAGTGGTGTCCTTCCTTCACACTAAATACTGTATGTGAGCTTTGATGGCAATATTATATTTGTAGTCGTTGGAAGTCGTACTGTCTTTTTTTCTGGATGTAGAAATCGTGGATGGTAGTCACAGTCTGCAAAAGGGTGGTCTCACTCCTAGTGCTGCCAGCTGTATTGTGAATAACTGAGGTGAAGAGAAAATGAGCTCACTTTAAACATCTAAGTATTCTCTACATATGAATTTTAAAGTGAATGTAAGTTCATCGTACTTTACTTTTAGTATATAACCTCTAACCTTGGGTATTTGGTTTCTATTTTGCTATTTAGGACAACATGATACTGATAAAAGTATATGTGTTTGCTGATTTACGCCTTAGATTTACAAACAATACAAGTCATTTTGCTTCTGCTAATTATTTCTCCTACAAATAAGCTTTGACTTGTTAAACATTTTATAAAAGACTTTTTACAGGAAAGCTTTACTACCTGTAACTTGAAAAGCATCCAATAAGCTGTATTTGCTGTATCCTGCCTTGTACTTAAAAAGTCAATTCACACTCATAATCCGGAGTTTGTATTCAGAATCTTGCACCGCTGTATAAGCTTTTGTTTCAGCTTGAGTTACAGAGCACTAACAGTTTGCAAAAGCCCCAAAGTTATTTTAAAACTATACATTATTGGCTAATAAAGCAGTGTTTAAATTACAGCCATTCTGAATCTCTCTGATTACTTCTCTATTCTTGTGTAACATAAAACCCCTTTAACTTGCCAAGGTATTAATATGAAATGGCAAAATGCTTAGAAAATGTATTCCATATACTGAAAATAAATGTACAATTGTGTAGACGAATTTAGTAGCTGAAGAAAAAACAGTTGTGCCATTGAAAACTTAATGATCAACTGTATTTTATTGACAAAGTTAATTTACCGTCTTTATTTTTATATGACATAATGGCACCATTATGTTACAAAATGGCATACAACACATTGCATTGCCTCCAGGCCTCAATTACTCTGCAGTGTTAACACTCAACTGCCATTTTGTTTATAGAGACATTCTACAGACAGAAGTTTGAATAGAACAATTAAATGGAAGGTTATGTATGAGGCAGATTCATACAGAACATGGTTAAATATCCCATCATTTGTTTAAGGATGAAAAAGAAGCACATTTTAAATTGAACACCTTTTGAAAATCTTGATCTGAAAATGTTTCAGATGGAGATAGTATAAATAAAACTGCACTAACACTGTGTGATTGAACACCGGTAAATAGCTAATAAAGAAAAGCATTTTCAAGTTATAACTGACACTGTCTAACTGCAAAATTATTTCCTTCTTGTGCCGACTTTACTTGGTTCTAATATTGTCCCTGCGCAATATAGTTGATTTAACCTGAAGGGTGTGACAACACTTCCAGAGCCTTCAATTAACTCTTTTTGCTACATCCAGACACATTCCTTAGTATTAGAACTCCCTCCTCTCTTTTTAAGCATTTCCACTATATGCTGGGCTTGAAGTTTCAACTATTATACAGAGAATTCTAAGAGTGTAACATTTAAAAAAAAAAAAAGCATTTCATTGAATTATTTTTGGGTTGCATTAAAAAATGTGAGCCTTTAACAGTTTTTTTTTTATTATAAATAAAGATAGATAGATAGACAGATATATAGATAGATAGATAGATAGATAGATAGATAGATAGATAGATAGATAGATAGATAGATAGGCAGTGGGTTAACCTATAGACAGCACAGTAGTAATTTGACTATAGGAACATACCCAAACCCATGGCTTCTCTACAGACTTTCTCCTTTCAAGCCACTCAGGCAGCCCAGGTGCTGCCTACCAAAGTCTGTCTCCATTCTCAGTGAAAAGTAAATATAAGCTGCACTCCAAACCAAAGCCCTTCTTTTTATATTTAATTCATCAAAAAACTGAAACTGTATACATTGATGTCTCTACCTGCAACCACCTTCCTTGACGCGTTTCACCATTGCTGACTTGCTCACAAGGATAGGGGAAGTCATCAATGTATGCAGTTTCACAGTTTGACAAATTAAAACCAGTAATTTGAATATGCCAATGATCCTGAGATAAGAATGGTACTGGAGGATGCCTGCAATACTTATTAACCAGCTTGTTCACAGAATATAAGTGTTCATATTTATGCCAAATAACCAACAGTTAGATCATTAGATCTATGCTTCTGTCATCTATTACAGGTTTTGGATCACCTCCCACCCCAGTTTTATACTCACCTGTCCTCGATCCAGCAGGAAATTAGCTGTACATAGTTACTTGTCATAATCTGCTGTGTTGGGCCCACACATATGTACACCTTCCATTCAATCACACAAGGTGTTTGCTCCATGCTTAGCAAATTTCACCAATATACAAAATATAACTGGATACTAACATTTATAGGTAAAGTTGATCTAGGGAATATCCAATTGCCTCTCGGGGGATCAGGAAGGAATTTGTTTTCCCTGCAGGAGCAAATTGGATCAGGCTTTGCTGGGTTTTTTTTGCCTTCCTGTCAATCAACTGTGGGTGTAGGATTATAGCTTTTTTTTTAATGGTTGGACTGGATGGACTTATGTCTTTTTTCAGCCAGACTAACTATGTAACTAAAACTCACACCTCATATGAATTAGCAGGATACATGTCCCATTATTGTTATTGCTGTTAGGATTTTAATAATCTTAGTAATAGTAGTAGTAGTAGTAGTAGTAGTAAAAAAGGTAAAATAAGACCTCTTCTTGGGTAAGTGGGCATTGAGAATCTTCATAGGTGCCTTTCTGTTGCTGACATTACCTAACCCTGAAGTTCCAATACTTCCTCTTTCTCCAATTAACAGACTTACAGACAAGCTGTACTGTATGATTAACACACCAGCCTGACGTAAGGTTACCAAATCTTCAGAATGAAGATGAAGAACTCTGGTCATGCTCCAAAACCACACTCTCATTTGCAGTAACACACAGAAAATCACTCTACCTTTTTAACATGCAGAAACAACTGGACTTTTGGAACAAGAGACATACAGTGAAAGCATAGAGACCAATTACATTGGGAACCAGGGGATGGGAAATGATGCAACATGCAGCTATGAATTGTGGGTGTGGCTATATTGCAATAACAGTGGGTATGGCATAAAGGGGTAGCAATAAATAAAACCTGAGCTTATGCTTCTATAGGTCAACAGAGTGTAAAGCATAGAGTTCAGGAGTAAGTAACACACAGAGATCAGGGATCAGAAGTAAGTAATACAGGGGTAAGATTTAAAAAGTGATACTAAACCCAGGACCCTGTATTCACTATATCTGGTCTCCCATAGTACACACAACATGGAAATTCAATTATTTTAGTAAATTCTGCATACACTGCTAAATACTTTTCTCATCAGCAGTTAGAGCAGTCTTGTGACTTCAGCAGAGCACTGGTTAACCTCCCTGGCTGTATTCCCGAGTGTAGCTCGGGGTAAAGTTTCAGTACCAAAAGCAGTAACCCCAAGCTACACTCGGGAATACCATGCAGAGTTGCTCAGGGATTCCCTGCAGCAATTACCTTGTCCTGCGCTCCCGCGATGTCCCCCCTGCAGTGTCCCTGGCCATCTTCTCCGGGCAATGCCGGCATCCATCTTCCGGGTTCCGGTCACTGCGAGCGTCGGGACATATGGGATATACGGGGGCCGGAACTGGTGGGAAATTTGAAAATTTTTAAAACTGACATTCACTAAATACACTAAAATCACATAGTAAAACAATACTGTATCAAAGCATTTCACATACATTTTGTCCCGAGTGCTTTGTCCTGTGCCCTGCCTGCATTTTTACTCTTCTTTCTGCCTGAAAACGTAGAAAAGTCCATGGCATCCAAAAAGTGTCCCTTTAGGTCAAAAGAGGTTTTAGACCAGCTAGAATACAGCGTTAGTAAATCAGAACCACTTGCAGAATTGAGTGATAATGATTTGTGGGGAAATTCGTCATCAAACACTGAAAACGATTCTGCGACTGAGCTCAGTGATGTGCGAACTTGGCGCTATATTTCAAATTTCAGTGTTTTTTTTTGGTTTGATTATATTATTGAATTACATTTATTGTTATTATAATATTATTTTTTATGATTGTTTATTATATTATAATTTATGATTTCGTGTTTCGAGTTTTATCCTACCCATCTAGTAGGATTTACTAGACTCTTGTTCGGACAGATTTCAGTGAGTTATTCCTAAAAATTACAGGCCTACAATAAAAAAAACAACATATTTCCATGCAAAAAAATGTACCGCTTTCAGCAGAGAAACATGGACATAGTCATACTGCCAGGGAGGTTAAAGCTTGTAGGAGGAGTTTTCTTTCTGCTCTAGGAGGATGTGAAACCTCTGACCCTCTGTCTGAACAGTGCTGATTGGCCCTGTGCTGATCACATGCACCCTTCCAAGAATTAAAAAAAACCTCTCTAGCAATACACACATAGCTGTGCAGCAATAGGGATAACTATATGTGCACAGGCCACTTAAGCACCATATAGTACCATATTCCAATGACGTTTGAGCAATGTACCATAAGTTGTAGGCTGTGCACTGTAATGTACTACGGTACCCAGCTCCCAGGGATGAAGACGGGAATGCCTGTTTTCCTGGGACAGACCTCTAATAATGGGGACCTTAGCCTGACACCACACAGCTATTAATATTTAACAGGCACCCGATCATGTGATCACTGTGAATGCCATTTACAGTGGTCACATGATAGGCAATGAAGCCCATTTAAAGGGCTGCTAGCAGTCATCAGAAAGGAATTAAGGTATAAGCTGCAAGAAGCATAGGTTTAACATGGATGTGAAGTCCTCAGCCCAGCACTGTCACATGAAAAGAGTCAATTGCATCTCCAAACAGGTATTTTCTTTGGGCTCATTCACACTTGACTAATTTCTAACGCTTACCAAACGCCCCTATAGTATTTGACAGGCATTAGATAGGAGTTTGGGAAGCATTTTTAACGCTTCTCAAACGTTCCCCAAATGCCCTATGTGCATTTTTGAGGCATTTAATAGGCGTTTGCCAAGTGTTAAAACCACACCACAAACTCCTATAATAAAGTTTAATGGTATTAAAGCTCCGCAAACGCCTTGCAACCACCTTGCAAATGCCCCGCAAACGCCTGCCAGCATCACCATAGATTTGAATGGGAGGCTTCGATGCCTCCTGACATGACATGGGGCATCAATTTTGCCACGACACGAAGCTAACGCTTCAGTGTGAACAGCACTGTATGCTGCCATGTGTAGAATTTTCATAGGCTTTTGAGAAGCATTAAAAACGCTTCCCAAACACCTGTCTAACACCTGCTAACAAAGCTAATGTGAACTTAGCCTTTGACTTCTGTTATTGAACAGAGTGGTGAGAAAGCAAAGGAAAGGTAAGTATGCTGGGAAGAGAAAGGGGTATAAAGCAAACTTGTTCCTTTGCTATGATTGGTCAAAGTACAGGTTTGCTTTATGTTTGTTTAGTTGAACTGACTGTACTGTATTGAACACATGTATAAAATTACATGAGAAGGAATAGCCACAGCAGACAAGAAGATTGGAGGTTCCGTATTTCACATCTATTTTGTCTACTCTTTTGCCGTAAGCCATAGCTTAGATTTGTCTTGCTTTTATTGAGTCTTGTAAATATAGGAAATAAAGTAAAACATGAAGACATTTCATGGTGTAGTTATGCTGATATTGGAACTGTAACTGTATACTTTATAGTCACAGTTAACTATTTTAGTATGAGCAAAAGGGGAAACTGCTGTATTTCTGTTCCAGGCAAAGCATGTGTTGATTCCTACCATTTTAACCTTCACATTAATATGATATTTTTATGTTTTTTTATTGTACTTTCATGCTTTGACTTCCAAAGTGTGTCAGATGCAGTTGGTATGAAACAGGATAAACCACCTAGAGCAGGGGTGGGCAACTGTGGCCCGCCATCTGTTGGTGAACTACAAGTCCCATCATGCCTCTGCCTTTGGGAGTCATGCTTGTAACTGTCAGTTTTGCAATGCCTCATGGGACTTGTAGTTCTACAACAGCTGGGGGGCCACAGTTGCCCACCCCTGACCTAGAGAATACCTAGAGAATAGGACTATTGAAAGAGCATTGGCCAAGGTAAGAGAAGTAGTTGGCCTACCTAATCACAGGCTATCTCTTCTTCAGTCTTTCATGAATGCTGCTGCCAGACTCATCCACCTTACTAACTGTTCCATATCTGCCATCCCTCTCTGCCAATCCCTCCATTGGCTTCCCATTGCCCAACAAATAAAATTCAAAACATTAACAATAACATATAAAGCCATTTGTAACTCTGCCCCAAATTACATTATTAATATTATTATACAGTATTTATATAGCGCTAAAAGGTTTGCTCAGTGCTGTACATTATAGTGAGGGACAGAACATGAGACAATACAGTAACAAAACAATCCACGAGGGGGTCAAGGGCCCTGCTCTTTCGAGCTTACAATCTAGGAGTTTACATCACCAAACTTGTCTCCAAATAACACACAAACCGTCCTCTTCACTCCTCCCACAACCTCTTGCTCTACAGCCCTCTTGTCTCCTCCTCCCATGCTCATCTCCAGGACTTCTCCAGAGCCTCCTCCATTCTCTGGAACTCTTTACTCCAATCTATCCAACTATTGCCTACTCTGCTCACTTTTAGGCAATCTCTGAAAACCTATCACTTCAGAGAAGCCTTTCCTGCCTTCAGCTAAAAACGGAATCTTCTATTTCTCCTATCAGTTCATCCCCCACAGATATTACCTTTTGTACCACTAGCCCCTCCCTCTTAGATTGTATGCTCCAAGGAGCAGGGCCCTCCTAACCCTCTTGTATTGAACTGTATCGTTGCTGTATTGTCTCCCTTTATATTGTAAAGCACTGAGAAAACTGTTCATCAGGGTTAACCCTGATGAAGTCACGACACACATGACGCAACGCGTCGGTACGCCATATCCGGTTCCACGTAACGTCATTTCCGGTCACATGGTGACGCACGTCCGGACGCAGCGGCCATATTGGTGTCCCCCAGGTTCATGCAATACACCCATGGGATGGGGTGGAAAGCTGATACAATAAGAAAGATATGTGAGTGCAATTTTTGTTTTTATGTTGTCCTTATTAAACGTTATTGTACTATGGAAGGATTTCTCTTGTGTCTTTATATAACACTGAGTGGAGGTGGAGTGGAATAGAGAAGTCTCCTATTTTCCTGTGATCCCTGGATAAGCTATCTACATATGAGGATCTGATACAGAGGAGAGTAATAGCCTTTGGACCTGTGTGGGTCAGTGTGGGGAGGTGAGCAGGCATTGCTGCCATTTGAGGATTTGTGCACTAGAAGTGAAGATCACTTTGTCCACGAAGTTTCACTTGCATGAATGTTTTATTATTTTTTATTTTATTATTCACTGATGGTGTTCTTATATTTGTGTGATTCACATTATATGATAACATAATTTGACTGAATATTACATTTTGCACATGGTATTGTTGCAATCACTGTTTCACTTTAAGATTGTGTAAATAGCACTGATGTATATATGTATATGAGCTTTTTTTTTTTTACAGAGCACTAGTAGTTAGTTATAATTGGTACTTCAGTATTTTATTGGTAATAAATATATAGCGCTTCACTATTTTATGTTAACACTTTGATCACTTATTGGTTTAGTTGAGTGACTGCAGCTATCATTATAGGGATATTATAGGGGATTTATATATATAGAGTGCAGGAGGATACTCCCATTTATTAATGCACTATTAATGCTCTGCTAAATAGAAAAACTGCTTGGCTATGTAAGGTGTTAACTGGGCTACCTTCAGGGGTCTTGCTTGACCCTGATACCCGGGGCTTGTGCCCCAGGTCTTCTATTAAGTGCCATGGGTCTTCTTTTAATAACATTTTTGCCATCGTGCCAAAAATGTATTTATAGATAAGCATATTATACTCCACTGAACTTTATCTGTAAGTTTTTTTTTGGGTACATCAAATCCAACTTCCAATAGTAACTGAATGTTTTTGTCACGATTCCTAAAAACTTGTTTTGTGGATAATTTTGTGAATTTAAGAAACTTGCATTTGTTTATGAATTACTGGTGTTTGCATGTGTTTAATACACAACATTTTAGAACACTAGCTAAGTACATTTACAAATGAAAAATGGACAGATATAAACAGTTGATGTACCATAAAAGCATTATTATAGCCATTAATGTGAAACTGAACTTTCAGTTTAAAAAGTATGCAAAAAAAAATGTATTATCTTTCTAGCAGTTTCTTTGGAGCAGGAGTATGTAACAGACTCTGCAAGCAGTTTTCAAAGTTTTCAGAAACATTTTTTAAAGTTCAGTTAGAAGGACAAACTAAGGGAAAGACAGTGTTTAAATCCACTTTGCAACTGATAATAAGATTGACCAGCACAGTGTAAACAGGCTTAAATATGGTAAACATTATTCCGCAGACCCCTCCCCACACACACACACACACACGCATGCACACCACCACCACCTTAATATTACACAGAAGAGGAAAGCTAGAAGGGGAAAGCCAGGCAGAATATTTTAGCAGTGTAAAATGTAAGCAGCGATTCTTTAAATTTTTTGTAAGTTATGCTATGTGAATGAGAACAAAAATAAAGTAGGCAGAGTTGAAGAAATAGTATATTATATAGGGCGCGCTTGTTGGAGCCCAACCTCTGTAGCTGTAAGATAAAGGTGCCAGATGGATATCAGGGATGGATGGATGGAAGCAGTTACACTGAGGCAGCTCTTCTTAGAGTGGAAGCAAGGCTCGAATGCAGTAACAAGAAAAAGAGAGGAAGGCGCCTCTAAGTGCAGTATTAACAATTTATTAGTAGACAATGGAAAATTTGCACTTACAAGATAAACGGTTAAAAAGACTCATCGTG